TCTGTTTTTAGAGATGATAATAGTTGTCTGATACATTTTGGTGCTCTTTCATTTGGTGAGTATATGTTGATGAATGTTATGTCTTCTTTATGTGTTTACCATTTTGTTTGTCTTTTCTGTGGTTTTATTTATTTTTTCTTGTTTTGTTCTATTCGTCTCTGTTGGCTCCAGTTTTAGGATTCCTTGTAATATTTTTGGAGTGGGGTTTTTGTTTTAATGAAATTCTGGAATTTCTGTTTGTCTGGGAAGGTCCTTATTCTTTCTTTATAGAGGAAGGAAAGCTTTGTGGGATAAAGTATTCTTGGTTGGCATTTGTTGTCTTAGAGTTTGTTGACTATGTCCCTCCACTGTCTCCTTTTACCTGTAGTGTTTCTTCGGAGAAGTCTGATGTCAGCCTGATTGGTTTTACTTTGTATGTTAACTTTTTCTTCCCTCTTGTCAGTTTCATTATTTTTTCCTTGTCTTGGATTCTTGGGACCTTTACTATTATGTGTCTTGCTGCATTTTTCCTTTCATCATGGAAGCTTGGTGTTCTTGCTTCTTGTATGTCTATTTCAGCTCCTTCTTCGTGCTTGAGAAGTTCTCTTTGATTATCTCCTTGAATATTTTCTCTGTTCCTATGTCTCTCTCCTCTCCCTCTGGGGCCCTTTAATTCTTATATTTCCTTTCCTTATGGAGTCAGATAGTTCCCGAAATCTTTCTTCATTCTTTCTCCTTCATACTTCGCTTCCCTTTTCTGTTTTGGTTCTTTTTATTTCTGTGTCCTTGAGAGTATTTATTCATCCTTCTATCTCATCTATTCTGCTTTCATTGCTTTTCCCCAGAGTTCTTCAGCTCCTCCATTAATCCTTTGAGCTCCTGCACTTCTTTCAATTCCCTCTTTAGGGACTCAGTTTCATTCCCCTGATTGTTGATTATTTTTCCCATATCATTTTTGACTTCTTTCAGTTTTTTAATCATGGCAATTTTAAATGCTATATCTGGAAGTCTTAGAAGTTCTTCCAAGTCACTGTTGCTGGAGACTGGTGGTTGCTTTTCTTTTTGTGGGGTGTCCTTTCCCTGAGGACTTGCTTGGTTGTATGTAGCTTTTCTTCTTCCTGATGCTTGTTTTCTGATTTACCCTATGTGTTGGGACAGTGTGTCACTAGTACTGGCCAGCATCTCTTTGGTGAGCTCCTTCTGGGATGTCGGAAGCTCTGACTGTGGGGACAGCCCTTTGTCAGTTCCACACAGTTTTGGTGAGGTCTGGACGCAAAGCTCCCTGTCTTAAAGATGGCGCATCTGGTGCCTGGTTTTTTGATTACTCAGTGAAAGTCATTCACCTCAGGGACAGTTCCCCTGCATCTCTCCAGAGACTTAGATCAGGAGCTTAGGCACGGGACAGCCACAATCCGCATATGCTTTTCAAGCACTTTTGTTTTTCCACACAAGTTTACCAGCTGGCCTTGGGCTATTTGCAGGTCTCCACACAGAGTCCTTATCTTCCTCTAATGACTCCCGGAACCATTCAGCCATCTCTGTGGCAATTCCTGAACGGTTCTCCACGGTTCCCATTTGCAGCATGTGGTGTCTACACTACATCCTTTCCACTCACTTTCTCACTTGATCTGTAGTTTGTTCTTGGTTTTGTTTTGTTTTTTCCTCTTTCTCTTGGTCAGTGTACCAGCTTTGTGGGTGGGGAAAGGTAGCAGTGTTCAGTGTTGTTCATTTTAAAGTATATCATGAACTTTATTTAATTCCTATCAGTTGTCATATGAGCTTTATAAGAAAAATTCCTTCTTTTTCTTTTGAAAATTATTTTATCTCACTGTGAGAAGCTTGCTCAGACTGTTACATGAATAGAATTTCTGTCTTCTGCACAATTGCTGTATGGAGTTTTCATACTACAGTTTGAGTCTTATATTTATGTCTATATTACATTGATTTCTTCAATGCAAAACATTAATCACTTTTGTTTTTCCTATGTAAGTATAGTGTTTAGCAAATAGGATTGTCTGATTAATTTCCTCTTTGAGCTTAGAAAGGATCTTTCTCATTTCTCTTAGTGATTCAGAACTCATATAATGCAAAAAGACATCCAGGAAATATCTCCTGCAACAAAGAAGGAAATAAAAAAGGTAATCTTAGAAGTGTCTGAGTCATAATTTTATTTGTAGGAGAGAGTGGAGAATTCACTTGTTATCAATTATTTTGCTTGATATGTACACTGGTATCCATGTAGCAGAGAGAGTGAAATCTACATGTGGGACCAAGTATTTCTCATCTAGTCAAATGTATTATAAAAAACATAATTACTAAATATAAATTTCTAATTGGATTATTATATGATTCTTCAATTGGACTGCATCTTGAGTAGCACGTAGAAAGAATCTGCAGGGCTTACACACCATGGAGGGTTTAATTATAAAAACAGAAATAGGGTGGTACAAGACTATTGGCAAAAGTATAAAAAGGTTGTTTCAGGTAAAGTCATTTTCCATTAGGGAAGTTAGAGGGGCCTCATCATGCACATGCCCTCAACACAAGTGATGTATTGAAATTTCACTTTATTTATTGCAAACACATCCTTTTGAGATTCCCAATGATATCAAGCAGATCACAGTGTCTGTAGATGTCAGTTTAATGAGACTCTGGGAAATACTGAAATATTAACACTGGCTTCCTGTCTTCATTTCCACAGTTTAATGTGGTAAGTAATTGACAACACAGGTTGTGAAGATGAACTGTTTGGATTGATGGCTTGTCTCTGCCACTTGGATGGTGTTAGTCTTGTATTCAAACAATATGGGTTACAGCTTCTATGCATCTTCTATAAAAATAAGTGAATAAGAGAACTTACCTCATAGGTAGTTGCAAAAAAGAACTTAATGATAAATTTCAGCATGTAGAAGGTGTGTGTTACATAGACAAATTCCATGAAGATAATTATATCACATTTGTTCCTTCTTCCTTTTTCTCAACCAAATCTTAACAATAAATTAATGCCAAATAAATCTTCAAGTATATAAATATAATTAAAATATATGATTTCTCCTATGAGATCTAATGAGTATAAAATGCACATTACCTTCTGATAATCCCCAGTAAAAGAAAGTGCTTTTCCAACACAAGGTCTGTGCTCAATTAATACTTCATATTCAGCTACAGTTCTAAGTGACTTCACTTCATTCCTAATGTACTTTCATATAATGGTGACATTCCCTCCTTTAGGAATTACAGTGTATTTTTCAGAAGAGAGTCAATTATTGGTTGTTTCTTCTAGGAGACATTGAAATATACTTCAAAAATGAATGCAAACATTTAATTTGACTGCCAGACATTGAAGTTTAGAACACATATGTAAATCTTTCTAGTGCTCTAGACTCGTTATAGATCAATTTTTATATAATATGAAAATTTAGAAATTTTATAAAATTAAAGTTTTTAGGAAGTATTTATAACATTTAGGAAAATTTATAATAAAATAGATCAATAATAATTATGTAGGTATAGATGCTCATATTTCTGCAAAAATGAATCAAATTGTTGAATACATGACTAATATATATGTATTCAGTGTCCTTACGCTGTGATATTTCACATAAGAAGCTTAATAAGTTCATATTTTGCTCCTTAGGTGACTGGAGGGAAATAAAAGCATCATAATCTGATATTGATTTCAACATATAGTAAAATGTCATCCATCGTTTTATTTAACAGCTACTTGGAGCTCCATCAAGCTAGTAATTTTAAGTCATTTTTATCATTTGTTTTAAATGGATGCAGGTTTTTTTTCTGAAATATTGAATGGAACTGCCTTAGAGGTCTAAATATCAAAAATAGTCCCATATGTTTAAGAAAGAAGGTCCTATTGTGGCTTCACTCGACCTGCCCTGACTCTCCAGGTACAGGACAAGCCAGGCCTTACCCACAGTGTTTCACTGGATTCAGGTGTCAGGAGGTGGGATCTTTAATAACTTAGGAAGAAAACACTGCTCATCACATCTCTGTTCTCAACTTTCCTTACAGGAATGCAGGTGAGGGTGATTTACATTCTTTAAATGAATGGCCAAAAAGATTGAAAAAAGAAAAATATATAAAGATGAATCACAGAATAATTTTCTTACTAAAAGAGAACAAACACTTTGGAGTGCAAGACTCAATGGCTACATCTGATAGCAAGAATTTAGTTTACACAAAACATAAGTTGCCCTGAGTTGTAGGAGCAAAAATGAATATATGAATCTTTGTATCTCTGGGCTGCAGGGTTGAAATTCATTTTATTTAATTGACTCTCTTTCAGCCAGGGCTTTGTAAACCTCCTACCACCTTTGACTCGATCAGATTCACTCAGCACCTGGTGATGGAGGTGCTATTTTCCTTTCTATAATGTGTTAAGTGTCTGAGTGTTTTTGTGGGTGTTTTTTCTTTGAGTTTAACCTTAGATATGATGCTAGTCATTCACATTTCATAGTGAAGTCAAGCTCCAGATGTGAAATGTGAGAGAAAGAAAGAAAGAAAACAGAATAATAATTATTCTTCTCCATCCAGTTTACCCCAGTTGGCCCAAGGGATGAAAGTGCCTGTGTGTCCATACAGATTTCAGACCTGTATGTATTTATAGACAGGTATGTGATGCATATGCACACAACACATACATTCTTTTTTTTTCACATTATCATCATCAACCCCTACAATGCAGGGAAAGGGGAAAAGTATAAAATGAAAGCCATTATATTTATAAGAAACATCTCACTTCACAGTTTTCTTAGGGAGAATTCAAGTCTATTCTGACAAAAGAGGAATCACTTACATTTTAACACCTAAGGATCATTTTCCCACCACCCTAACACAGTGAATTGCATCAATGTGTATTTTATTTTATTGTAATAGGTATTATATAAATTTTAAGCCAAATACATTATTTTTTATATAAGTCTCTACTTGAAGCATAAATATTAAAAAAAGCACCTGATTTTAATGTATTTTATAAAACAATTTGAGCCTTTCACTTTGAAGTCATGGATCACGGTGATTGCTTCCAGATTTTGCCAAAAGAAAACTTGCTTAAGATGTGGGGACTGCACCTGAGAAGAGAGACCATGCACTGTACAAAAAGTAGGAATGATGTAATATATATAAAAAAATAATTATAAAATTATAAAAAAGATAATTCCATCTACATTAATAGAAATAGGCTAAAGTATCATTAAAAATAAAATCATATGGAGACTAGACTTAGCACTTTTTCTTCTTAGATGTTCTTGCTCCTCACTAAAGGAAGTTTTTGCTCATTTTTCACTGATCAACCCAGAGAGAGCACTTCCTAAATGTCATGTGTTGTATATTATAAAACTCTTGTGATAATGTCACTGACATATCTTAGTAAACTTGGGTGGGTAATATTATTTTGATCCTCATTGTATGTTATAAGCCCTAAGAATACAGGTAACCTGCACATGATTTGGTTTCACATTTTCACCAATGTGCTTATGTGGAGTAAATAAAATTTCTTTCTTTCTTAAGGTCTAAGGACAATATGTATCAACCTAAAACACTTATTTTTCAATAAGGTGAAAATTAGGAGTAGTAACATTATATGATGATTGATGCAGATTACAAAATACCATCTTTCAAAATATTTAAGTGTGTATATGAATTATTCTTTTTGGGGAATTTATGCTTTTTGGTCAAAAGTCTATTTTGTTTCCAACTAAACTTGCATATTCAGTAAAAATTCACAGTATTAAAGAGGTTGGCAGTAAAATCAATGATTCTTCTTCTGTTTGTTCTTTGCTACTTCTCTGAGAAGTTGATACTATTTCTGCCTTATATATGTTTATTGTTTTTTGCTGTAAAAGTATTAAAAGTTGTTATTATTATCCAGCACAGGATAAATCTTGGAAGTCCTTTGTCTCAGCAATTCAAGGTTCAGAAATCTTTTTCACCTCATCATTAGAGTTCTATCAAATTATTTAATTAGCTTATTAATGTTATTATTGACCTGAATTCCTGTATCAGCTATAGTCACTTTCAAAGCCCTGAAGGGAAGGGAACACTGGGAAGACAAGTGTTGAAGGAAGGTTTGAAGGTTAACGTGAATGAGACAATGAGTGTGGTCCCAAGCCAGCTGAGGCTGTGCTAGAGCACATGATTGTGTGTGTGAGGGTGTGTGTGTGTGTGTGTGTTTGTGAATGCAACAATAGCAGAAGGTCACTGTGCTTCTAAATTTTTTTTTATCCCTGACTTCCCTAGCTTAGTTATGGAGACACAGATCACAGCACAGACTAAGACATGGAAATGGCAACCACTCTGTGGTAAGAAAATGAAAATTCACAAAATATACAAATGTGGAGAAAAGGCTTGATTTAAAATTAATTGCAGGCCTCCCTGGTGGCACAAGGGGTTAAGACACAACCTATGAAGCTGTCCGCAGCCACTGCAGCATGAGTTTGATCCCCGGCCAGCGAGGGAGGAACCCACATGGTACAGCAGACCTCTCCTGTCTCACCAGCTGCTTCCCTCAGCAGTGTATTTCTGTCGATCTAACTGTTCTATGCCCCACTCTGTCTCTGGTGTATTCTTTCACCCACTGCACCTCTGGCCTGTACCCCAGTTCTTGTATGCATAAATAAATAAATAAATAAAATTAATTGCATGTGTTTATGGAGATATACTACCAAATTTCAAATGTAAGTCTGCTTGACAATTTTCTTAGTTTTTTCGTGTCTTTGGTTTTTCACCAAGAATCAGTTTCATAAATAGATCCATACTATGCTAAGTGCTTTAATCAGTGGGTAGCACCATGTAAGTAATGCCTGTTTCTTATTAAAAAATGAGATTTTTATTATGTGAAACTTTATTACACTAATTACATATTTAGATTTCCCTATGTTTCTCCTGTTTCCCAAATATATACTTTTTAAATTTATTTATGCATATAAGAACTGGGATACAGCCCAGATGACAAGGGATGAGAGGATTCACCAGGAGACAGAGTGGGGAACAGAACAGGCAGATCCACTGAAATACACTGCTAAGGGGAGCAGCGGGCAAGACAGGAGAGGTCTGCTGCACCATGTGGGTAGCTCCCTGGCTGGCCAGGGATCAAATTTGTGCTGCAGTGGCTGCGGACAGCATCAAAGTGCTGTGCTTAACATCTTGCACCACCAGGGAGTCCCCAAATATTTTTTTTAATTATTTTGATCTTTAGTCATTAAAAAAAAAAAAAATGATGCTGACCTTTTACCATAAACAAAGGGAGGCGTTGGCGGCTACAGTGACAACTTCCTGTATTGTGGTCCCAGAACATTCAGAAGCTCGTGATTTTGCTGCTTCTGGTTCAGACTGTCCATCCATTCTCACCAGTCCATAGTGATATAAGAACATTGTTTGAATGCACAATTTCTCTTTTTCTTTTACATTTTCCTACGCAAACTCAAGATTGCTCAGCCTCCAGCTCAGTCCATGATGTGACCCGGATCTTCTGTAACAAGCACAGGCAAGTTTTCCCTGCATGGACTGGGACATCTCTCCTCATGGCAGGTATGTGCAATCCAAACCAGTTAAAAAATTAAAACAACTAGAAGGTGCATATCATGGATTTGCTAACTTCAAGACAGGACTGGAAAAAATGAGATTTTTTTGGTTTTTCATATATCAATATTTTCCGTTTAATTTTACTTTCATGATTCTTCATTCTGCCATATAAATTGTTTTGTGAAAGTTTTTCCAACAGTTTAAAAGGTTGTCTTCTGACAGGGATAGCACTAAATGCTTATGGGACTGATTTACCAGGTCAAAGTATGAGCAACACAGTTTGCGCATTAAAAAATATATAGGGGAGGCCAAACATTAGTGACAATGCTTACAAGTTTATATAAGTTGACCATTTATGTTTTGACATCCAAGGTCTTCCTGATTAATAATCTGACACAGTAGACTGTTATTGACACTGTTCATAGAGATTGTTCTGAATCTTCTAATGGCCAATTGCTTGAGAGGAAATTCCTATAAGAAAGAAACTCTGAGAATGAGAAAATATCTTGTTCAAAATGGTTGCTTTTAAATCATCTTCCAAAATATGTGAAATAAATTCTGGTCACCCGGGTGTGTCACATAATTGTTTTGGGAGCATCTGATTATCCCCAGACCAGAGAATCCTATCTTTTCTTCCCCACTGGACCTCCCAGAGTCATGAGCAGCCTGACAGCACTTCATTAGGGAATACCTTGAGATTAGGAGACGTGCACACAATAGTGATTTACACATTGATAGATATATTACATGAAAAACTCTGGGAGACAAATTTATTTTATTTCTGTGTGGTTACTAATGTTGATACCTTGAAAAAATAGCATTATTAAAGAATTCTAGTTTTCTCTACACCTAGTAAGAATCATATCTCTTGTGACTTTTGTTGAGAAAATTAAAATGAAATTTTGCTATGATGACCAAAACATAACTCTGTGTCTGATCACTTCTACTCTATAATGTTTCAATTTCTATGCCAACAAATAAATAATTGGTAAATCACATTAATGACATGAATTTGAAAAAAAGAAAAAGTGTGGATAATCTCACAGAATAGATTTTTGTTTTCAGTTTTCTATGCAATGTCTTCATATTTCTAGTGTTTCATTGGGAAGATGTTGGGGTTTCCAAACCAATACCTTTTTTTTTTTTCAATTCTCTTGTGATAGTTTCTGTCTTTGAGATCTTCAGCTCCTGTGTCTTTCCAGAAGTCACTACCCTACCTCTCTTTCTTTATAGGTTTTTGCACCACTCCATGGAGGTGGATTTCTGGGACCTTAGGAGTAATGTGCCTTTTGTTGATGGCTATTTTGGGAATTGTGTTGAAACACTGTAAGTTTTTCAGGGCAATTTACATAAAGTTCAGAGCATTGATGAAATCATTTAATAAAGCTTTCATTTACTAAACATGGAATATTATATTGTTTCACAAACTTGTATCTAATCATTATTTTTTTACCATTTCTGATAACATTTCATAAACCAGATATTGAGCGAACATTCTCTCAAGGAGCCACCCTCAAATCCCAGAAAGGTAGGTTCCATACTTTAGTAGAGGATGAAATATGCAGTTCCTGTTTTTCTCATACAGAATTATGATGGAACCATTGTGATCTAGCTATGCAAGTAATATACTAATTGCAGGATAGTCTCATTTCATTGTCTTCCATTGTAAGAATAATTAAATTACTTTGAATATGCATCACTTGTATATTTAAATAAGGAGAATATTAGCCTGAAATAACCTAGTTTTTCCTACATGAGCAATCATATTTAAGTAATAAATAAAAAATAAGTTCTATTATATATCCCAGCTAATGCTAATTATCTAACTGTTTGCTCACAACCCATGAATTTATATCTTTACCTTTGCTTCTGCATCTCTCATGACTAGAACATAGTACACAGATTTCAGCAGTTAAAGTACAATTTTTAATGTACTTTGTCTAGTGTGCTTTATAACTTGTCTCAATATCTTCTGTGATTACTTCTCACTTTATTTTATTCTTTTTTCCTTCAATTTGTTTCTGGCTTTGGAATATAATTGACACGGGACATTGTGTACATTTAAGACTCAACATAAAAAACTTTTTAACTGCCTCTTGACCATCCAAGTTTATGTTCAGATAGATGTTCAGAGAATTCATTTTTTTAGCAACAATTTATTTAGGTATTCTTGGGCCACAAGTGAGCAATAAAGATCCTCCATAAGGATGGTATTGCAATTATGAACTTCTAGAATCTGTAAAATGTTTCTAATTGTGACAGATCATATGATTTTCACATATTTGAAATGTCTAAAATTGATGAATTTGTGCACCTGCACTTAACATTATAAGGTGTCAAGATAAATATGATAATGGATGTTGAACATTGAATTTAGTTTTTTTAGAAAATTTTAGGAAAAAAACAATAATTTTTATAGGAGTAAAGAGTATTTAAAAATCAGAATCTCCAATATCAAGAGTCAAGCTTTATTTTTTTTTTTCTTAGACTCTGACTGCTGTTCTTGCCAGGAGAGGTGGATTGGGTACAGCTGTAACTGTTACTTCATTTCCAATGAATCCAAAACGTGGAATGAAAGTAGTGATTTCTGTGCTTCTCATAATTCCACCCTTCTTCAGATGAACAATAGAAATGAATTGGCATGTATTTAATCCTGGTTTCCTATGTATTTTTTGACCTAGAGATATGTACTATTTAAGTAAGCTGAATTAGATTCAGGTCTATATCAGATAATGAAGAGTATTTTTTGAACTAATGACTTACTAATAGCTTTTTAACTTAACCATTATAAAACCTATAAAATTTTATTAAGGAATTTGATAAATTCAGAATTTTATTGGAAAAAAGCTCAAGAGAAATGTCAGATAAAGTATAATGGACATTTTAAGAGAATTCAAAGAGGATCTATTATGAGTATTATTCTAAAAAATAAATAACTGAATCTTAATGCTTTCATTAATTTTATAATTTATTTTGTAATTCTGTATATTTTGTCATCATTATGGGATATGCAATGAAAATGAAATGTATGATCATAAAAATTACCCAGTTCTTAAGAAAAAATGAAATATTTCTCTAGCTGTATGCAGAATCTATACTGACTATAGGTTGAGAAGATTTCACCCACAAAATTTATTCCCTAAGACTCTGATGTAGAATCAAATTCGGATGTCACACTCCTGTGAAGTAAAATTCTAACTCCCTTTATAACATAATATGTATGATAAAGTCTTCATTCTGTGAAATCTGAGATTTTTCATGTTATTTTCCCCAATAAGTAGATAGGCTTGATATTTGAGTAAAAAATACACTTGTGACTACCTTTTTAAGCAAGCATTAAAAATGCTTTTTTTAAAAGATTTGTTTATTTATGTACACAAGAGCTGGGGTATGGGCCAGAGGTGTGTGTGTGGGGGGGGGGGGTTGAAAGGATTCCCCAGAGACAGAGTGGGGAACAGAACAGGCAGATTGACTGAAATACACTGCTGAAGAGAGCAGAGGGTGAAACAGGAGAGGTCTGCTGCGCCCTGTGGGTAGCTCCTTGCCAGAAACCGTCCTCGCGCTGCAGTGGCTGCCAAGAGCTTCATAGGTTGCATCTTAACCTCTTGCACCATCAAGGAAGCCCTAAAAATGCTTTTAAGTGTGTATGATCGAAAGGCTGACTCTTATGTTGGACACTAACTTTTTAAAATAGTATTATTCCAGAGTAGATTTAAATTATGTTAATTGTTTGTTTCTGTCTCTAAGCAGCACTTTATGAAATTCAGTAAAAAATATTACTGGGTTGGAGCCATCTACAGTGAAAAACAACAAGCCTGGGCGTGGCTGAATGGCTCTGCTCTCTCTCAAGATCTGTACGTTTCTACTAGTCCAGATTTTTTTTGTTCTTTATGAACTTATTCCTCTCTCTCTCCACAGATTGTAGCTAAAATAGTTTTCCTAAAGTATAAAGATACAGAAAAAAATGGATTCAACAGAATAATAATTTTGGTGCATCTGGAAAACCCAAGTCAATTAACATGAAATTTGTGTACTTGTGACCATGAAAGAACATCTGAGATAAGTGAGATAGGCTTTTTCACCCTGATGGGTGTGGGTGGATGCATAGATGTTATATTCACAGGAACTATCCAGAGAAAACAGTGTCCATGATAGTTTTATTTTGCTGGAGGCCAATAGCCTCAGCTTACACCCCCTTCTTTTCACATTTTTTAGGTTAATTTTCTGTTTGTAGCTTTTGAGTTTCATTTTCATCAATAAACAGGATTTTTCAGTATCATACAAATTGTATCACCTACCTTGTTTACTTAGGCTAGTTTAGTCAATACATATTTAAGCAAAATTGAAACAGTATATCATATATCAAATCCATTAAAACAAATGCAAAAAAAAAGTGACTGAACTCTGTGCAGTTGTTTACTGAGGCAATAGTCTAATTTTGTGATATTGTTCTTTTAAATGTCAAAACTGTGCCTATCATAAAAAACATACTGGCTCAATATGAGTCAGTAATGAGTCAATCAAATGCTTTGAAAAGTTCTATTATTTGATAAACACCCACCAATGAATATTCTCATTTCCTTTTCTCATATGTTAATATTTTATTTTTAATTACAGATTCTCCTCCTATCAAACTGCAAATTCAAAGAACTGCATAGTATACAACCCACACCTTGGTTTTAAGGATCAACCTTGCATGTGGAAAAACTTATATATCTGTAAGCAAGAACTTATGTAGGTGTTTCTTGGGGTAGAAGTGGACAATATAGTCCCATCTTAAGAAAGGTATTCCAATTATGTATTTCTAGAATCTATAAAATGTTTCTAATTGTGTGTGTGAGTGTATGTATGATTTTGACATATTTAAAAAGTTTTAAAATTGATAAATTTGTGCTCCTATACTTAAAATTATAACGCATCAAAATAATTATTGTAATGGATATTTCAATAAATGCATGTTCAACATTGAATTGCATATGTTTTATGCACATAATTGTATACAATCTCTCTGTAGAAATTTAAATAAAACAATGATTCACATCAAATGATATATATCGACATCACTTCAGTCTTTTGTATAGCATACTAAATTTGGAAGAGACACTTGTTCCTGTTTCTTGAAATTAGTTCTTTCTGGATATCAGTATATTTATGTTTGATAATTGACAATTTTCTATTATGTGTCTTGGTGTATAACTTCCTGCATTTAGATTGCTAGGTATTCTATTGTTTTCATGAAATTTTGTAGTTAGTTCTTTCTTAGTTGTTATGGGAATGGTAGGAGTAAACTGAGCCCGTGATTACAATGTTAAATGAACTTCACCTCTTGACATCTTTACAGACTACACACCCATCTCCAAGCCACTGAGATCACAGACACTTAGATTACAACTCCCAGCATTCCATGAATCTGTCTTCCTGAACAGGGTCACTAGGAACTATGGGGAGAGTTAAGCAGCCATATTTGCCTTAAAACCTAAACAAATGCATGCTGTCACTCTTTTGCTTTTCCAGGTTTCACTTGCACCCTAGTGTCTCACCTCAGTTGCTGTTGTTGGTAGGAAATATCATCCAATTGTTATCTCTCTCTTTCTCTCTTTTTCCACTCCCCTTGTAAATAAAACATTTTAAATGTTTTCTGTGGTTTCTGCTTTTCAGTCTTGTCCCATGTCCTAAAGCATAAGGGTGAGGACACACACAGGTCACCGATATCCCTTGCTGTTGTCCTCCTCTCACAACTTGGTGCCCAATAACAGGGACATCATAGATCACACAGTAGGGCAAGTTCATTAGGATTGTGTGACTTGAAGTTGAATTTTTCTGTCTCCAATTTGAAGAACTTTATTTTCCTTCTGTAAATTTCTCTCTGTGTTGATCTACATATAGGCTCAATCATTAGTTTAAGCAATTCTTCATACTTTTCTTTAAATATCAATGTACATAATCTTGTAAGGTCTGGTACATGGAAGAATATTTTAGTTTTGTGGAAAGTCCTATGGGCATATTTTGGGACTCAGTTTCAACCTTCTGTTAGGATTGAATACTTCACATAGAACTGAAGGTGAGAGGATTCACCAGAGACAGAGAGGGGAGCAGAACAGTCAAATCTACTGAAATACACTGCTGAGGGGAGCAGCGGACAAGGCAGGAGAGGTCTGCTGTGCCATATGTGGGTTGCTACTTGGTCAGGCATGGAACTCAGGCCATTGTGGTGAGCCTTTGTGGTGGTAGAGCTGAGAATTAACCCTCAGGCCACCAGTAAGGCCCTAGGTCCTAATTTTAGGTTCTCGACTTACAGAGTCTAGTTTTAGTGAGAATCCTTCTGGATCACTGGATCAGAGCGCAAATAGCCCCACTCTTGCTAGGAGTATATATACAAATTAAGAAAAGAGAAAAGAATATTCAAATTAAATGAGGATTTCTTTCATATGTATATTCAAATAAGGAAAAGTTATAGGCCTTTATTAAAAATAATAACGATGTTGAAAATTTAAGCATAATTCTGTACTTGTTTAAGCTTAGCTAGCTTAAATTAAGCTAGCTTAAATTTTTATTCACTTTACCCTCTCCTTTAACATTTTCAAAGATTTTTAACTAATTAATATGGGTCATTTCTTCATCACTTGTAGGAAAATATATACATTTCCAGCTACTAACTAACTAGAAAATATATTCACAAAATAAACAATGTATGTAAATGTCAACCCTTATAAAATTGCATAATAAAGTTAGAAAAATACTAAGGAAGTGAGAAAACTTTATAAATAAATGTGATAAGATAAATTTCAAGGAAGAAATTTTCACCTGAAATATTTACCTTCCATTCAATTTTTAAATTAATTATTGAAAATGTACTGGTAGGGGGCTCCTTGGTGGATCAGAGGTTAAGTCCCAGTCCTATGAAGCTATAAACAGCCACTGAGGCATGAGTTCGATCCCTGGCCAGGGAGCTAACAGACATGGCACAGCAGACCTCTCCTGTCTCACCCACTGCTCCCCTCAGCAGTATATTTCAGTAGATCAACCTGTTCTGTTCCCTTCTCTGTATCTGGTGAATCCTTTCAACCCTCCCGCACCTCTGGCCTACACACCAGTCCTTGTATGCATAAATAAATAAATCTTTAAAAAAAAAAGTAGTTTTAAGTGCTTAAACTAAGTGGAGCAAGCAGACACATGAATTTATCAACAACAATATACTTTATATAAAGTTAACATAATATTTATTACAATGGGATAAAAAATACACATTGATACAATTCACTGTCTGGTAGAAGTAGAGAAATAAGCATGAGTAGTTAAAATGTAAGAGGTCATGTGTCAGAATAAACTTGAATTTTTCCAAGTTAAACAATTGAGTTAGATATTTCTTACAAATATAATGACTTTGATTTATAACTTTCCTCCTTCCCTACACTGTACAGACTGATAATAATAATGTGAGAAAGAAAAAATGGGTGTGGGTGGGTGGGTGTGTATGTGTGCACACATACTGCCATACAAATGCATGCAAGACTGAAATCTGTATAGACACAAAAAAACTTTCATCCCTTGACCCAACTGATAAATTATTGCTGTTGTTTTATTTCTCTTCCTTTCTCACATTTCACATCCCTAGCTTGACCTTCAGTGCAGGTTTATGAAAAGTGAACAGCTGATGTCATATCTAAGTGTCAGCTCAAAGAAAAACAAAAAGGAAATATACCCACAAAACTCTCAAGACACTTAATAAATTATAGAAATAAACAAATTAGCTCCACAAGTTTGTGCTGAGTGAGTCTGAACCACTCAAGATAAATCCTAAGATTTATCTTTCCAGTTTATTTCTTAAATTTTTTGGGGGGAAGGGGGGAGGATTCGCTTATGGAGTGTAAACACCTAAGGAAATTTCAGAGCAGAAATGTGATGCACAGTGTTTCCTTCCCAAGTTAGTAGAGCTCCCATCTCCTGACACCAGAAAACAATGGAACTTTATGGGAAAGTTCTGGCTTGTCCTGTAGCTGGGAGAGTCAGGGAAGCATGAATGACTACAGTGGAATCTTCTTTCCTAAAAGGACTGGATGAATTTTTATAGTCTCATCTCTAAGATACGTCTACTTGATATTTCAGAGGTGTGAAAAAAGAACTGCATCATTTTAAATCAAGTGATAGAAGTCACTTAAAATTATCAGATTCAAGTAGTTCCAAGTAGTTGTTAAATAAAGCAATGAATAAAATGACATTTTACTACATATTAAAATCAAATGTTAGAACTATGATGCTTGTGTTTATCTCTAGTTACCTAAGGCATAAAATATGAACCTATTAAGTAATTTTAATGATATATCACATGGTAAGAACCGAGAATATGCATTTTAATCATATATGCAGAAACATGTTTATTCTTTGTAGAAATAGACATCTGTATTTATCTTCATTAATGATCTATTTTTATTATAAATGTCCCTAAATGCTTTGTATACTATCTAAAAACTTGAACATTAAAAATTATACAATCTTATACGGTGCATTGTGTTACAGATTTAAAGCACTACACTGTTGTCTTAACAAATAGCTATCATCTACAGTGGCAATTTTAACCAACAGTTACAAGTAGAATCAGGGATAATAACTATAGACATGACACAGTATAGTTTCCTTTTACATGGTGTTAAATGCAACAAGACAACTGTTTTCCATTAACAGAAATAAAGAGATAAATATTACAATCAAAGTGACAATCCATTCTGCTTCTTATTCCACAATAGCTTATATAAACTTCAATGAAAAATATAAAACAATGTGAAAATTTTGATATGTTTAGATCTTTCTTAGCCCTTGACAGACCCTTATGTCTATTTTTATAAAGTGATATATCTGCATGGACAAAGAAGCAGCCAAACATTAGTGACCTTATTAGTAATATATATTTTGGATAAATTGACATTCTCTAATTGAGTGCAGTAGGGCAAGATTAATAAAATCAACAAGAAAACATATAACTTGTTTCAAAATTTCATATCAGCCCTAATATACAACTTTCTCACTAATCGTCCATCACATGGACTGAAGCAAGAACCTCATGTAGGAGGTGAAAGGAACTTGTTTGCAATGTGGCTTGTCCACCTCTCGTAGCTAGAAACAATCTCTCTGTGGTGAGCTGTTTGGTGGATCTGGGTTCTCACTTTCATCGAACACACGAAAGGTGACAAACTGGTCACTTCTTGACATGTAAAGTTCAGGTTTACTAAGTATCACTGAAATGGCCCTGAGCCTCTTTCTTGACCTTAGGCAAAAACAATATAAAGCTCTATGGTCAGTAGCTGTTCATAAAATTGAGGTCTAAAGACAAGACCGAGGAGTAAAAGATCTCTAGAATTGTAAGATACATTGGTTCCCAACAGGACAGTATTCAGATCAGTAAAAAAATCTGTGGTCTAGAGAGCTCACCTAACTCTTGTATTAGATTTTCATTCAATGAGGATTGAGCAAATTTATGTTTTGTCAACTATCAAAAGATAGGTAGATGATAGATAGATAGATAGATAGATAGATAGATAGATAGATAGATAGATAGATAGAGAGAGAAAAATATGATAATATTTTAACAATTTTGCATTGAGTAATCTGGGTAAAGGGTATATATCAATCTGTTATGCTACTTTTTCAGGCATGTTTAAATCTGAAATTATGTCAAAAACTAAAGTCACACATGAAAGCTTTTCCCCTTGCATACTGCATTTAATATAGCATTAAACCTGA